TTCTTTTCAAATAATCTGTTAACTAAATATATAAGCTAGTTGCAGTGATTTTTACGATGACAATGTACTGCAATCAAATTTATATGCATCAATATGTCTGAGATCATTTGCAGTAGCTGTGTCCTGCTTTTACAGTTGTTAAATGTAAGCAGACGATCGTAGAGCAAAAGGGTGTCCTGCCGTTTTGTTTTACCTATCTTGTTTGGGTTCTGTTTTGTGTTAGGCAGTTAGGGAAGTAAACTGTATTTTTATTTCGTTATTCGATTAGGTTATTTATCTATTTTTTCCTTTCTAGATTTGTTTTGTTTGTTATTTTGGCCTTTGGGACATCCTGGAGAGATGCTCTTTATTTCACTTGCTTGTATTAAAATAAATCTAATCATTTAATATGACTAACATCGTGGATTTGTTTGATTATCGACCTTGTGTATTAAGATCGTAGAGCAGGTGGGTGTCCTGCCGTTTTGTTTTACCTATCTTGTTTGGGCTCTGTTTTGTGTTAGGCAGTCAGGGAAGTAATCTGTATTTTTATTTCATTATTCGATTAGGTTATTTATTATCTCTTTTTTCCTTTCTAGATTTGTTTTGTTTGTTATTTTGGCCTTCAGGACATCCTGGAGAGATGCTCTTTATTTCACTTGCTTGTATTAAAATAAATCAAATCATTTAATATGACTAACATCGTGGATTTGTTTGATTATCGACCAGAGTGGTTCGTATTTGGGATTCATATTACATTCATATTTTATATTTTGACTGGCAGTTTTTTCATGGGTGGTGGGGAAGTGCAAGGTTGTTTTATATGGAGTTTAGCATAGAAGCGTTTAAGCAGGCTCCTTCGCATGAGCTCTTGGAGTCGTGTCGAAAGTCTGATTTGTATTTGGTCGCTGATTTCTATGATGTTCCGGTCATAAAAACTGCTGCTTATGAACTAGTGCCAGAAGCGTACAGGCAAAAGTTTCGCTCACATGTTAAAGTTATCAGTCAAACTTATGTGGAGTACGCTCGGGAGAAAAGCGTGCTTTTTGATAGATGGTGTAGCTCCAGCAGAGTCGCTAACTTGGAACAACTTCGTGAATTGATTTTGATTGAGGATTTTAAAAACTCTTTGCCGGACAAAATTGTTGTCTATCTAGATATATATATATATATATATATATATATATACTGTATATACCATTTTTTCCCATTTTTTTGTGTTATTTTGGTTTCCGATCGCCAGGGAGAGGCTACGCAAGGTCCTAAAGATGACGGCCGCAACAAAAAAGTCATGTGACTGAAATCCATTAATATAGCGTTATGTCAAAATATTAATTTATTTAATTTTAAATGAAACGTAATCCTGATAGTATTCCCACTTTTTACAAAATGTAACTGTAATCCAAGTACTTGTAACGGATTACAGTTACTAGATTTTTGTATCCTGATTACGTAATGCTGTTACATGTATTCCATTACTCCCCAACCCTGGACCTGGCATCAGTTTCTTTCACTAACACTCACCGAGAAAAATGAGTTGAATCTTATTCTGTATCATCTTGTCTTTACAGGTTTGTTCACTGAAAAAAATAGATGACAAGAATACGACATGCTGGTTAGTTTTCTGATATTGAAAGTGCAACAGTTTTCTCTATAGTCAAGGGGATTTATTGGAAATGAGCAAGCAGACATGGCTGCAAAACATGTTCTTGCAGAAAGAATCAGTGAATGCAAAACCCACCCTTTGACATAAACCCCTTAATCAACCATTATAAGACAAAAATAAGAATGGGTAGAATTTCAAAATTATTTGAAATAAATCCTGTGATTGGATAAGATGCATCTACCCTTTTAATTCAAGACACGACCAAGTTGTATACACAAGGTGTTGGAAAGGCCAAAATTGACTGACTCATGGACGTTTATTGAAGGGTGAAGAAGCACCAAAATGTCAATACTGTAGTCCCAACTTTTCTATAAAATATGTTTTTGGTCTGTCCAATTTATAATGTTATGCGACAGCGATTTTTATAAGGACAAACTTTAAACTACTTACTTATGGACCCAGAAAACTTTCACAATTTTTATCCCAAGTACATTTAAAGAATGTTATATAGAATTCTGCTTAATCTTGTCTTTTTTCTAAGACAAATGTTATATTATATTTTATTTGTGATATTATGTTTTTGTCTGTTTAATTGGTAAAATTAAATACAACTAACATCTATAGTCAAGGTTTTTAGACACTTTCAGGCATTGTTCATGCATTTCATATGCTGACATGTTCACAAAGGTTGTTTAATAGGACAAAATTCAAGTAAACATAAGTATTTTTAATGGTTTGGTACACTGTAAATAATGATGACAACATGTTTTTTTCATTACTTTAACTCATCAAATGAACTAATTTAATTTCAGATAGGAGATTTTGACTTGATTTTTTGTAACATAATTTAAGTATAATAAGTTTTAAAGTTGAAGTAGGTGAATTTTTTTTTACAGCCATAGAAATCACAACAAACCCCAATTTACCTGCTCTGGAGTGACTGAAGCTTGATCTTCTCCCCAGTATATCAAGTGTCTTCTCTCAACATACTTGTCTTTTGCTATGTACCAAACTCTTTATGCAAAATATGTCTAGTACTGTACGTACTGTACTGTACGTAAGATGCTGAGACTGATTTACATTCTGATTTTGCTGCAGTATGAGGCTCTTTATTCAAATAATATCAGAGAGCATGATGATAAGAGCACAGAAGTGCTTTTTCACAACTATAAAACATATGCCACAAATGAATACCAGTGGAAATCTTTGAACTGATATGAAGCCCGTGCCAACAAAAAAGTGGGTATTTGAAGGTCTGTAACATCTGGAGAGAGTTACAGGTGAAGTTACTCCATGAATGACAATCTAATTCACTCCATTGCAGCTGTTTGTTCACATTTACTGTTCGACTATTGTTTAGAAGTTTCCATCAGAACAGCAACTTCTGAATGACTTCATCTAAGAAAGATGTGTTTTGCAGACAGATGGTGAAGTTATAGCATCTGACTGACCATATTAACCAGTCAAATCAACCTTGATCCCTTGGAAAAACATCTTAAACAAGCCCAAAGTGGTTTGCTTCTCTTCTAGCAGGTCTGGTTTGATTGGTTTAAGAGTTTTCTCTGGTCATTTCACTCTAGGTGAAAGTGTGATAATAATTTAGCCTACTTATATCCCACCTACAATCTCATGCGTATATGGATGTATTTTTACTTAAAGTGTGGTTCTACCAAATGTACATTTACTTATGTGTGCATACACACTGACATGTACTATACTGACTTAGATACGAGGTCAGCCAGTAGTTGATTTACCGATATGGATTACTAGGTTGGCCGATACCAATTAATCAACCGATAATGGACACTGAACAAAAACTAAAATAGTGCTGAATTTTATTACAAAAAAGTACTGAACAATACCTTTAAAGTGTAATAAAAATATTTATATTAAATAACAATTATACATTGTTAATTAACGTTAGTTTATATTTCATTAACTAAAATGCAACTTTAAAATGTAAAAATGCATTAGTAAATGCTGAAATTTACATGCTCTTATAAGGAACAATGCTTCTATGGCTTTTATTAACCTTAGTTATTGTTACAAATGGACTCTTATTATGATGTGTTACCATTTCATATAAATCCAAACTGATACTGCACACTGGACACATCGGGTTCAAGTCATGCAGCAGTCCGAAAGAGTTTATTCAGTCACCAAGTGGGCAAAAGTGCCCAAAACAAAGTGGCACAGATGAGTTTGAAGTTTATTGTTTGAAAAAAAACTGAGCAAACTGAAAAAGAAAGTGCAATCTATATTCTAGCTCTCTATATGAAGCATATAGACTTTATTAGAGCCACAGAAAGACAAATGTTTTGATGAAAAATGCACAAATCAAAACATGTCTAATTAATTTAAATCATAAAACCTATACAACTTAACATCAATTTATTAAAATTTAAATAAAATTATTAAAAAAAAAAAAAAAAAAAAAAAAAAACATTTAGGGCCCTATGAAATGTTTTCTTTTTTTCTCACCTTATGCTTTAATTGTTATCAAATTCTGTGTTTATCATGTCTAATTATTTTAATGCAATATATGATTACAATATTAATATTTTAATATAATTAATCTAATGATTAGTAATATATTTCTGGCACAATTTCTTAACATTAAACCAACATTTTATTTTGACGGGTTGCTGTGAACATTAATCACTAAATTTCTGTGTGTATATGTATATTTTACTATAATGAAATGGTAAAACGTTCAGGAGATGTTCATGTATTTATGTCCTCATTTAGTGAGGCGGCAGATGCTGAAATCACAGCGAGCGTCACATGCGCTTCATTATGTGTGTAGTAAACGAAACCACGCGTCTGCGCCACTCACAAAGAGACACGCAGAACATGCAAGATTCATATTTAAATAGCCTTTTTGAGGCTTAATATTTACAAACACTAGTCTATATTGCGATTTGATTTAAGTGTAATGACCTGCTTTTGATTAATTTATTTAAACTTTGACAAATTCGGTGACATTCTGCGTTATTCAGTAAATTCCATTTTTATGACTGGATTCAGCGTTTCCGTCCGTGTTTTCGGCATTGCGGAAATCATAGGGCCCTAATTTCAAATGCATTAATGTGACCTGCTTGATATAAACTAACGCAAATAGATGGTAACAATCATGACATCAAACATCGGGTCAGACTTAAGTGTGTTTTGGTCACATTGTTTTAACCGCTTGAGTTTTAACCATGTTAAACGAATGATGGAGTCATATTTTAACTGGAAGTTTGAAGTTGAAAACGTCTTGATGGATTAGTTTCAGCTTTTGTCTTCTCCAGATGTTCACTGATGGACTGGAGTGCTGTGGATTACTTGTGGATTATTGTAATGTTTTTATCAGCTGTTTGGACTCTCATTCTGACGGCACCCATTCACTGCAGAGCATCCATTGCTGAGACACTGATGCAATGCTACATTTCTACAAACCTGATGAAGAAACAAACTCATCCTAATCTCGGATGAGCACATTTTGAGGTAGTTTTCATTTTTGGGTCAACCATTTTTTTTAACAACAGCAGCACTTGAGATACATGAACAAAGTGTTTTTGATCATTTTCACAAAGAATTAATGGCCCCCAGAATATTTTGTTGTATCAATATCCAAACTTGCATTATGTCAGAAAGAACAGAGAATCCACTTTAAAAAATGAAATAAATTTATTCTACCTTCATGCGTTATTGTTTTAGCAACATTTGAATGTGGGTAAGTTTAAAAAAAAGCACAATTTTGAACAAAAATCTTAGAAAATGGTGGTTTTGTAAAAGACTACATCTGGATCAGATTCAAAACGAGTGTTTGCTTCCACAGATGAGTGATCGCTTCCATCAAAAGCTTCACAGTCCTAAACCGCTTCCTGGATCGACATTCATCGACAAGCTGTTTAATGTTTGATCGTATAATTTAAATTTGTATCTGCTTACACATGCAATCACTTCTTTGTACTTCTTCGCCATGTTTTGATCCAAAACTAAATACAAGGGGTAAAACAAAGAATAAGGCAAATAAACAACATAGAGGGTAACAAAGCAGGCATACTTTAGAGCTACACAAAGAGGCACACAAACACAGCCCAGCCCTCTCGAAAACAGATGCGACATCGCCTTTTATACTTCCGGCGGGGAGGCGTCAATGGAGACAGCGGACGAACCCATAATGAGTGACAGAAAGGGAAACCAATCAAGATCTAGTGGAAAACACAAACAATGAATATACAAACATAACTGATCGTAACACCGACCCAACTGTCCCAGCTATTTTAAGAAATAATAGTTGCAAGGGCCATGTTCTCTGTGTCTTCTGTAATGGTGGTGTGAAGGAAATTCTGAATTTAATCATTTTCAGCATTAATCTTAAAATAAGCTGATGATAAATAACGACTAACATTCTCCTTTCTCAGCAAGGCTAAATTTTAAGTACGTTTTGGAGAACAAAAATGTTAACCTTTAGAAGTGTTGCAATAATTAACATATATATACAAAGACGAGATGGCTAGACGTCTGTCTGAAAATATTAATAGCCATATGATCTTTTAATTTGGGGAATAAGATGAAGTAGTCAGTAACAGAGGGGTGATGTTGATTTGGCATATTAATCTGATCTGAATTAGGAGAGAAATACGCGCAAACATAGTTTACAAGCCAAAACAGATCTAAACAAATATGTGGGTGGCTTTTGATGTGAGAGAACAACAGGGGATGGACTTTTACGCTGGAGGAAACTTGAAAAGTACTTGTTACATTTTTGCATTTTTATTTTATCTTACACATATTAAACATGGTACATGGAAGCTCAAACATGCACACTAATGAGGTTTGTTTTTATGCATGAAGCACATCTGTTTCAGATTCGGTTATAATTTTCATCAGGTAAATTTCTGGCTTCAAAATTTCTTTGCCAACATATTAAGGTAGCTAAGTTTATTCATAATTTATTCATTATTTTTGTATGTTTTGATGTAGCCATTAGCTGTCTATGTACAATATTGGCTGAATGCACAAGACTGAGTGTAAATAAAATCAGTGATACAAATTTAAATACAATTAATGTTTTAGTGGCAATGATTACTTTTTTAATTAAATGATACAAAAATAAAAAAGTGTCAAAAAACATACAAAGTAAACATTGGGAAAATTTAAAAAGTTTCTTACATCGATTGTTCTGCATAAGAAGACGTCAACAGGGGTTATATGGGTTACTGTCGTCTTCTCTTTGTGTAGTTTTTGAATCATCATCTTTGGACATGCCATACACTTGCCTTATATGCAGAAAAGTGATTATTTTTTTCTAAAACTCTTAGTTTGTGTTCATCTGAAGAAAGGATGTTGTATACATTACAAGGTGTAAAGGATGGATTTTTTTTGTGTTCCACTGTTCTGCATATTAATTGTTGTTGTTGTTGCACTAGATAGATGTGTGATTTGATCTGTGCCATTGCATTTTGTTTTCTCCCTCTAATCAAACTTGTGTATGTCTGTCTGGCAAAATATTTAATGCAGTTTATTTTTAAGCAATTTCACTTTGCATTGAAAAGATGGTTCAATATGATGAATATGTCTCCTTTTCTTTTCTTTTTCTTTTTTCCTTTTGCTAGGTTACTTCTAATTTTTAATACTGGAGTACAATTTTAAGTCGTACTTTTTATTTTTACTCAAGTACGTTTTTGACCAGATACTTGTACTTTTAATTGAGTATAATTTTTGAGTACTTTTTGGATCACAGATCATAACCTAGATGTGCTCCGTTTGACAGAAACCTAGCTAAAACCAGATTATTACATTACTTTAAATAACCATTGCTTTTCACGGTTTGCATGATGGGAGATTTCATCAGGAAATATGCAGATACAGAGGCTTTTATGTTGAGAATGTCAGGTACTTCCAGACAGAGCTTCGTATCGAGGCTTGTATTGTTTTAGTGAAGTGACGTCACAGGTGACGTTCGAAGCCTCGTTTGACTGCAGTGCTTCGAGAAAGGGTTCACTTTTGATGGAATCGACTCTGCCTGAAGACAGTGGAAGAAATATGGTTTTTAAGCTTCCACTTGCACTGCCCTCTGTCCAGTCCACATTTATCACTTTTACCTTCTTTTATCTTGTATAAATAACTCCATCATTTCCCTCTGTTCAACAAAAGCACTGCCCGATTACAAAATTATGAAACAACACTGAGCATAAAAACTTCAAAGAATTGATTTATTCATCTACATTTTTTAATTGATAAATATGGGGTAAATGCACACAAATAAACATGGTCATAAAACTGTAGCATTCAAAACACAAACAAAGCATTTTTGCACATTCACACATCAATGAGAAGTTACTGATCAGATACAGTATGGTAAAAATATTAGGCTCACATTCCACTGTGTCAAAATTGGCCTGGGAATGTGAAAGGAGTACACTTTTTTTTTTGTAATGCAAGGGTTAATTCAGTTATTTGCTTGAATATTCTTTGTAATTATTTGAGGAATATAATAGTAATTTGAGAGAAAATTGCGTTACTAATAAATATTTGTATGAATCAGTTTCTACATTACGTATACAATCCAAAACCTATCTGTCACAGTCTTCAGTCACCAGCCCAGTCCACTTTGAACTACATTTCCCAGCATCCCTTTTGGTTACCACCTGCACACAATCAGCCATCACCACACCTGCCACCACACCAAGACGTTGTGATTTGCGTTACCCCAGTTGTCCTCCTCTTCTGTTACCCCACTACGACTGATATTTTTGTGCATAAAACTGATGCTAATTAAATTTCCATCCATCTGTTCTCCAAACCACCTGTCCTCTGACGGGTCAAACTTGACATGAAATTTTACATTCTTATATCAGCATTTGTTATTGTTCTGTGACAAATTAAGTTTTCAATCAGTTCAGTCAGTTGATTTTAACACCATTTAAGAGTTATATTACTCAGAGTTGTTCATATGTAAAATCACATAAGAGTTCAGACATGTTGATCAAGTACAATTAAACTAATTGAAGATTATACATTCATTTTATTAAGCCAGTGAATAGAAACAATTTTTCTTCCTGAAGTGCAATATTGGATTTAGAATGTAGCAATGTTTTCTACTAAATTATTGTACTCTACCTATATGTTTATTTGCCAAAGCAATATAAATATAAGTGACTAATAATAAAAATAATAATGGTCAAAATATTAACTAAATCATTATTAATCATCAACATACTTCATAACTGATTGATATTATTAATTTTTGTTTTTTATTTCTCTTATTATTTTATTTTGAGCCTTTCAGTTCCAGTGCATGTTCGTCTGTCGGGAGACACTGAGCAGGTAAAAATACAGATGAGACACGAAACTAACCTAAACACATTTGAACGTGAACATGAATGAAATTTAAGAGCATTTCAGCAATAAGACCACTGAAATGTCTATCTGTACTGTTGGGCTCAGATGATCGGGGATATAGTGCATGAGTCATATGGACTACTAATCTTTAATGTTATGATTCTGTAATGATAATTTATCAATAGATGTATGATGCTTTTTTTTGTCCAGTTTTCATGAGGATGCAAAAAAAAAAAAAAAAAGATTTTTCCTGGCTGAACTCTCCTGTTTACTTGTTTAGTTCACACATATATGTAAAACAGACGGTGACAAACGAGCTCTGGGTTTATGTAATATTGTTTAGGAGACCAGATGATGTTTTATTACCTTATATAGTTTTTACTGCAGTCAAAACTAAGGCAAACACACACAAACACTCATGTTTGCATATTCATGAATTTGTTAAGCTAATGATGCATGTCAAATGCATTTACACAAATACTGAAGAATCAAAGAAAGGAGTTATTTGCATGGAGAGTCACGTTATCATTGACGATTGTTCAGGATGAACAAACTGAAACTACTTTACTTCCAAGTAGTAAGCGGTAAAGAAAAGAAGAAACTACTTTACAACAAAAAGATGAGACAATGTCAAAATTACAATGAATAAATAGTGCATTTACACAATTCACAAGGAACCTAAAACAACACAATAAAAAATTTAAATAACTTAGGCTGTTAAAAGCATGGAGTCCATTTGAATCATACCATAAAACAGAACTTAAGAATCTTAGAGTGTTGTAAGTTCCAATGTAAAAGTGTCCACCGGTGTGTATACAATCCAGTGTAAGTGATCCAATAAAAGTGAGAAACTGGAATGGTAAGTCCTTAAAAACAACTCCTCAACCCAGAGCGTTCAGTGCTTTGGTCAGTGACCCTGATTGTTTGTCATGCTGCCTCCTTAATGATGGCCTACTTCCTGATTCTTGTCATGAGATCACTCACATGACAGGCAGACCCAGCAACATTTAAAGACATACACACAGTCAAACAGATAAGAGGAATAAAATGACTAAGACAACATGTAAACCCATTAAAACTCAAATATATA